ATATATATATATATATATATATATATATATTATGCATATATTATTATTATTATATTATATGGTGTGAGTACATACTTATTTATGCATGTAAGTCAATATATTTCATATTTTCCTTTTTTTATCCCTTTTTTCTTTTCTTCTATTGAGAAACAGGCGTTCGTTGGAATTTTTTTTTTTTTTTTTTTGTTTATACCCTATTGCCTTGACTTTATTTACTTTCTTTCTCTTTTCTTTTAGTCTGCGTAAAGCACCAGAAGTAAACCCGAAAAAAGAAGGACAGTTACGTTAAATAAAAAGAGGTTGTGCCTACGGCCTCTTCAATTTTCCTTTTTTGTTTATTATTTTTCTTTTTTATTTTGCGTTTTCTTTGCTTCCCCAACGCAATAAGAATGATAAGATATATATATATATATGTATATGTATATATATATGAAAGAAAAAAGAGAGGGAAGTTTGCTAGAGAGAGAGAGAGGAATGATTGAATGAAGAGGAGGAGGGAGTTTAATATGATGTTGGATTCGCTTTTGCTGAACACCAGTCTTTTTTTTTCTCTTTTTTTTCTGTTTTCTCTCACTCTTTCTCTGTTTGTGTGTAAATACAGTTAATGTGTGTATGTCTACGTACACCGCACTGAAAATTTACGGCCAACTATCCTTTTTTGTTTTTTCTTTAATGGTTTCAGTGACGTTGTGGTTATATATATATATACTATTGTATATACAAGTATATGTATAGATATGTAGAGATGATTGGATAGGCAAATGTATTTTCTTCTTTTTCTTCTTTTTTTTTCTCGTACAGTAGCGAGTGGGTAGATCTCAGTGAGAGAGATATCAACAGACACCTCACTGAAAAAAAGGAAATAACATTATTACAAACATACATATAAAAGGGAAACAAAGTAAACCACCCACCCCTAATAGATAAATAGATATCTCATTCCAAATAGTAGACATACTCCTGTAATTATATATATATATATATATTCTTATTCTTATTCTTCGCCCTAATGACTGCAGAGCGGGTGGAGAGTGTGTTGGAGCTGTTAACGTACACAAAAGGAGTGAGCGGCGTGGTGGTCTGCAATCGCGAGGGCGATCCCATCCGCGACAGTTTTCAGGACTTGGACCGCAGTAAAGCCGTCGCGTACGCAGACATGGCCGCGGAGATCGCACGGGATGCGGCCCCGCTGTTTGCCGCCGATGATAGTTTAGACGTCCTGCGGGTCCGATCACGCACAAATGAAATTATTATTAAATGCCATGAGGAGTTTCTTCTCGTGGTCGTTCAGGAAGTAACCGAGTGAGAGAGAAAGAGAGTACTATACATTCTCTTTTTATTATTAAGATGATGATGATGATTATTATTATTATTATTTGTTGTTGTTGTACGTGTGTTTGGCTTAATACTTGTTGGGGATTGGGATTTGTGTGTATATTTGTAATGAGTTGGGGAATAATAATATTAATAATAATAACAATACTCTCATCATCATCATCGTTATTATTATTATTATTATTATTATTATTATTATTGGTATGTGTGAAGAATGTATATACATACACATATCACAGTAGACTCATTACTTTGTACTAAACCCTTCCTCTTTTTTTTCTTTTTTAGTGGTCTCAGTGCTGTTGAGAAATCTTTTTTCTTCTTCTTGTTTTGGGGATATCTGTTTGCGGACATTTTATATATTTCTCTAGTCAATGTAGTCTCTCTCTCTATCTCTCTCGGCCATATTATTTTCTTCTCTTTCTCTTTCTTCTATTACTATTACCAATATAACACACATTAAGAGAGAGGGAGAGAGATCATTATATACACACACATACATATATATATCTATCTATCTATCTGTATCTATCTATATCTATCTATATATATACACTCAACACACTAGTCCATGCTGCGCCTTACACTTCTATTATGCCGCAGCAATAAAAAGAAGAATAAACGGTGTTTGCCGGCCGCCATCGCGACAGTGCCGGCGGCTCCATTACGTTACGGTTGGGGAAACATTCATCGCATGTCTGCAGCGGAGCGTCAGTCTGTTGTGAAGGCCTCGTGGGCACAGACAAACACTACAGACAACTCCCATCTCTTTCCCCATCATCCTACTGGATTATTAGATATGAACCACAATCTTAATGATAATAACAATAATGATATGGATGAGGATGATGATTATAATAATAATAATAGTGATGTTGATCGGACTATTCCTGCTGCACAGATAGCGCGGGAGTTCTTTGCAGATTTGGCACGTGATGCCGATGATGATATGGATAGAAATGTGGATGTGGATATGTGCACCTCCACTGCGATCACTACACAGAGTGATGAGACCCGCAGTGATGAGGCCCGTGATGTCCACCGGCATTTCTTTGCAGACTTCTACACACAACAACAACTCCTGCCCGGTGGTGATGTGATGTTGTTTCGCTTTGTAGAGGCGATGCTGCGACCACCCGCTCTCGCTGTTCTCGTGAACACCGCCATGCCGTTTGTTCGCATGATGTTAGTTGCCCAGTTAACGGCACACAGTCAATCTACACAAGGGCAAAACAGTAAACTTGTGTTTCTCCCACATTCACACCACCCGCTGCTGTACACAGTGGAGGTTGTGCCCACCCAACGCATTGGGGATCCACTGAGACTTCCCTACACGAGAGAACGCTCCATACTTGCACAGAGAGAAATGCAGGAAACACCAACACCAACACTAGAGAGCAGCGGAAATGATAGTTCCACCACCCCATCATTGATGCTTGCGGAAGTGAAAGAGAATGAAGGGATTGAGATGAATGCAGATCTTTTAGGAGCAGTGATGAGTGATGATGATATGAGGGTAGAACCATCGGCACTTGTACAAACAAGAAAAGAAGAAGATAAATGTAGAGTGAATCATCCACACATAATAACAGCACCACTTTCCATTGGCCATTTATATTGGCTACAGAGACAAGTAGCAGCAGACACACTTATTGACGTGGATCCTCTTGGATTAATGATTCCTCTCACACTTGCCATACACCGCAGAAGAAGAAGAAATAGTAATAATAATAATGGTAATAATAATGGTGGAATTCTTCTTGACATGTCTACTCGATCTCATGGTGTGAAGGAGTATTCCTACACCAAAGATATTGCCGCACACTTTACTACTTCACAACTCAGTTTAGATGACATTTATGATGAAAGCCGTATGGAACGTAAAGAGGAGAATGAGACTGTTATCATCTCCCTTCTACCATCACTATCATCATCATCATCATCACAACAGGAACAAGAGAACAAAAATAAAAAAGTCTCTCACCGTGGGACGGGCCATTCTGTAAAGGCCGCCGCGGATGAAATTCCCGCCGATGACAGTTTCTCTGCATCTTCACTACAACAACAGGAGGAATCACAACAAGTGAGTTATCACGTCGGTGTTGAGGGGTGCATCACTGTGCAGGGCCCACCACGGCGTCTGTGGGAAGTCTTGCGAGGGGCATGCGATGCGGTGCTTTGTTGTCCTCGCACCACCGCCGATGGACGTAAACCTCGCGTGGCTTTAGGGACGGATAATAACAGTGAAGAAGAGGCCGCGGCCAATCGTTTTATTTCTGTCTGCTCAATGGTAAATAAGACCTTTTCTTATTTGCGGCGTGAACTCGCACAGGCATTGCGGTATGCTTCTCCGCATGGGGGTCGTATTGTGTATGCAACTCACAGTATGAATCCTCTTGAGAATGAGGCTGTGATCTCTTCTGTTCTCACAGACTTTAGACGACAACACCCGGAATGGGAATGTCGTCCTATTTCCTTGTTAAATCATCAATATAAACAAGATCAACAACAACAAGAAAAAGAAGAAAAAGAAAGGGAAGAATTCAATAATGATAATAATAATAATAATGATAATAATGATGCTGCGGTGGAGTTATTGCGATCGCTCATGGCTGGTGGACGTGCGGGAGTGACAACGTGGATTCCACTGGAGGATGCACCGGCCGAACAGGAGGTCTCATACAGTGCGGGGGATATCATTGCGGATGTGGCTCGCTGCGCTTGGCGGGCCGAACCGATGAATACAAACTTTGATGTCTGTTTTATTTGTGTTATCGAATTGCAGCAACGTCATTCTAGTCTATCATCATCGTTATTATCATTATCATCATCATCAGAAGAAGAAAAAGAAAAAGAATCATCATTATCATTATCATTATCAACATCTTCATTAGTGGTTCCAAAAGAGAGTTCTCCTGCCGTTTCTGCTTTTCCATGGCTGGACACGGAGCGGTTGGAGAGTCGATGGGGTCTTGTTTTCTCATGGAATGAAAGAAAACGGGCTTTTGTGGTCGCCAGTACTGCCGTACTTCGAGTGATGAAATCCCTCCAGTCCACCACTCATCGCAGAAATGACTACAGTGTAATTGGATACGGTGTTCGTGTAGATACTGGACGTACTTGTTGGCCCCAACAACAACAAAAAGAAGGAGAAAAGTCAGCGGAACAACTTTTGAGTTGTACTTTAAGTGGCACACTGTTGTCATTTGCGTTGGGCGACGCCGTGCGAGCGTGTGAGGCGCCGTTTCGTCTTGTTGAACTCCCTGCAGTGGCTGTATTGGAGTTGCTGCAAAGGAGACACATCACAGGGAAGCGACTGCGTGAAATTCTCGCGGATAAATTCGCCGTACTTAATTCAATAGAGAGAGTGGCATCGCAATATAAAGGAGCCGCTCACACAGTCTTTATAAAAGTGACTACACCAGAAGTGTTTGAATCTGAGTCTAACAATATGGAACTAGACGCAGGAATAGTGGATGAACTAGAGAAATTGGTGATTGTAGCTCATCTTAAAACTAATTACTCTCCATCTTCACATGCGACTGTTTGTTCTCTCCGATTAGACGGTACATCATCGCGTGAACGTTGTGTTTTGGCAGAACGTGTAGTGGCGATCAGCGACGCATTACGTTATTTGCTGCGTCGATTGGGTTATCCTGCAGAGATGTGGGGATCCGATATCAGGAGTGTAAATGAGATGGACCATGGTAATATTACGATTAATAATAATAATAATAATAATAATAATAATAATAATAATAATAATAATAATAATAATAGTCTGGCTGATACACATGAGATACAGCTTCAAGATGATGAGTACGAAGTGGAAGTAAACCCATCTTCATTATTATCTGCGTATAATAATAATAATAATAATAATAATAATAATAATAATAATAATAATAATATTGGTGAAAGTGATGATGGTGATGATTACAGTTTTTTTGGCCCGCGTACAAGGCGAATACACGAACGAAAGATGGAGAAACTACGGAAAAAGTTAGGATCGTTGGGTATCAGTAGTGATGGGAGCCCGTTGAATGACTGGGCTAAAGATGTAAAGCACATGCGTAGAAAGAAACGGACGTCTTTTACTCATTCTCCCAGAAACCAAATGCAGTGACCTTCTCCTTTTTTTTTGTATCTAATCAAGGAGGGAAGAACGAGTGATTTCTTTTTCCTCCCTTCTGTGTTGTGTGTATTTTGCTTTTTTTTTTTTAAATAATTATTTATCGTGATTCATTTTCTGGTTATTTGGTTCTGTATTCTGTTTGTGTTGCTTTTTACTCCGTGGATGCCTTAATAATAATTATGATACCATTACTAATGGTAATAATAAATAAATATCTTTATATGTATATATTTCCCTCTATGTTTCTTTTTTTCTTCTCTCTTCCTTTGCATTTGGTATGTTTTATTTTCTATTATCAAAAGGACGAACTGGTGTGAGTGGACACCACTAGCCAGGGCGGTAAAGTATATATATATATATATATATATATATATAGTGTTGCTTCCCATCATGGCTCGTGAAGCATTTATGAGTGGTGTAAACGATAGTTCGTCAAACGATTCTAGTGATCCAAATCATACATATACTCTTCTTAGCAATACACAATTCGCATTCCTTGTAATTTTCTCTGTTGTTTGCCACTACGTTGCTTTGATTTTCTCAGCTACTGCAGTAGGAGAATCAACAAGTACCCTCTTATTACCATTCGTAGTATTCAAGAGATTATTTATGGGATTTCTTGGCACCATCGCAAAGTACATGCGAAGACGACAAGAACACGTTTTTGTTGGCGTTAGTTACGAAGATGATGTCGAGGGCGGTGATAATTTTGATGCGATCAATTTACCAGCAGACAGAAACTTCACATAAATTCTGTTAGATGTGTACAAGGGAAAAGCAAAAAAAAAAAACATATATATATATATATATATATATATATATATATATATAGTTAGATCCTTCAGCAGGAAGTGCCGTATTGAACCCGAAAAAATTTTTTTTTTCTTGTTTTACTTGTTTGATTCTATTCTTCGTATTTGTGGATTTTCTCTGGTCGTGTAGCGCAACAGTCTGTGTGTACAATTTCAGGTCGACCGAAAAATTACTCTGAAATTGTGATTACGTCAAGTGATGAAGAGAGAGAGAGAGAGAGAAAGAGGGAAGAAGAGAGAATAAGAAAAAAAAAAAATGAATTTGCTTCAGTCAAGAGACGATGTTGGATTTTTATTTCAACCGTTTTTTTTTTTTTTTTTTCCTTCTTTTCTTTCTCTCTCTTGTGTTTGTATTTCTTTATTATCTTCTCACTTCCATGACTGAATGCATGTAAACAGACGTGCGGAGTACTGTTGAAATGTATTATTATTATTACTACTACTACTTCTTTTTCTTACCGTGTGAATATATATATATATACTCTTAAGCGTTCTAACAGAATGTCGGATTCACTAACGTTGAAGTCTCAGAACTTGCTTACGCGAGTGGTGGCCCAAGAGCGTGAGAATGCTCTCCTCCACGCAGACCTCAAACAACAGAAGGAACTCGCTGAGCAGACGGAAGCGGCAGAGCGGACTGCACTGGCAGAAGTAGAGAAATCCGTAGAGAAGATAATACTTCTCTGTTTATCGTGTGCCTCTCATCTTGAGGATAAAGTGGAGTTAATAGATGCGATCGAGTCTGAACTGAAGGGAAACTCTGAAAAAGAGGCGGCCGCGGCTCGTTCCTTTGAGTTGTATGAACAACACACCCGTACTGTAGACCTCGCACGCCGTTTTCAGAATGCGGAGAAGGTGAGAGAATTAGGATGTAAAGATGAGGAAGAATATGAACGGCTTGAGCGAATGTCAGCGATGGCAGCAGAGAAGGAAGAGGCGGAAATCGCCAGACGGGAAAACTTGGAACTCATGCAATTAGAGCAGGAGTGTATAGAGCTGGAGCGCCGTACGGAGTTGGTGTCTCTTCAATATGCCCGAGATCTTTTTAACGTACAGGTATAGGGAAGTGGATCTTTTCTATGATAGTGATTGAAATTGCGTTTTTTTTTTTTTTTTTTTGTACAAATAAATTTATTATTATTATTATTATTATTATTATTATTTTCTTCACTTCAATTCAGATTGTGTAGAATTAGCATCGTAGCAAGAAAGTGTTTCTTAATCACACTCACGTCTACTTTCTCACTTTCTTTTTTTTTTCTTTCTCTCGATTATTTAGTGAGTTTAGCTAGGGGCGAGAGTCGTGTACGCACATAGGAAAATATTATCTATTTAAATATACACAAACAGACAAACAGAGTACGCATATTTAATTCTCATTATGGCACCACCGAAGGCTTCTCTGCCAGCCCGTCTCATTGCGGGTGATTTCCTGGGATTTAACTGGAACAAGATTACATGGATGGCACCTTATAATAACTTCTATCCCATCACTGTTTGCGGTGGTTTGGGCGGTCGTCTTTGGTCCTCCTTCATTCAATACGGACACTTCCACAACCGCGCGACGTGGGTGGCCTTCCGCAACGGTGTGCTCGCCGTTCCGTCGCTGTTGGCCGCGTTTGTGATGATCTCCAACGTGGATTGGTACGAGGCACTCGCCTGCGCGTATTATTTCCCCGGCTGGCAGATCCCCCAGTGGGCACAGGAGAAGCACAATGAGGAGATGGTCTATCTCTCATGGAATAAGCCAGGTGCGATGGCCAAGCACCACTACGCGGGTTCTGTCTCTATTCCTGGATCAGAGAAACTCATCGCGTAGATGAGACGGGTAAATGGGATTTGCTGTTTGTTTCTTTCTTGGTTCTTTTCGAACATTAGTGTCCTTCATCTGCAGTGGATGAGGAAGAAAAACGAATAAAAGAGGAAAAAAAAAAGATGGGTTGGACATGTAGTGGATGGGGGAGCAAGGAGGAACAATATATATATATATATATATATATATAGGGAAAATGGAAACAGAAGGGAATGAGAAAAAGAAAAGAAAAAGAAAAATATAGCAAGCAGGTAGTCATTAAATGAATAGATAAAAAGAGTGAAAATGAGCAGTTTTGTTTTTTCTCTTTTCAAATTTTTTGATGCCAGCTATATAAATAAGTAAGTGTGAGGAATTTGTGCAGATTTTATGGTGTATTTACGTGTTGTTAGGGTTTAGCAGTTTTAGGTAGGTGTGAAAGTAGGGGCGAGATGTGTGTATGAGAGAGAAGCGTGTTTATAATTTTACTATTCAATATTTTGTTTTTGTTCATTTTTTTTTTTTTTTCTTGTTGTTCCTCTCTAAGGAAGAGAGGTGGTACTTCTGATTTCTTTTTAACTCTGCTGTTACACTAATCTTTTGTCTCTTTTTTTTGCCTTTTTTTTTAAAAATAATATCACACTAATAATGATTTTTCATTGCTAACATATTAGGAAAGCAATAAGATAAAGCTTGACAAATAATAGTAGAGAGTATAGTGTTTCTCAGGCACTAAGGAGGAGATATAGAACTTCCACAGTATATCATTACTTTCTGATATATATATATATATATATGCTTACATGACCAAGTCACCTGGAGGTTATGAAGGGCTCCTGGAGCGAATCCGAACTGAGGTCAATCTAGTTAAAGATCAATTGCGTCGCAGTCTTGAAGCAAGAGAAGCTAAAGGATATGTGAACATTAATAATAATAATAATAATAATAATAATAATAATAATAATAGTAATGATAACCGTAATAAGAGCCATTACAGCAGCAATAGCAACAGTAGGCTCCCATCACCATCACCTGGTGTCTCTACGAGTCCAGGTGTTCTTCCCTGCACTGTGTTAACTCCCCCTGCAGAGATCATACGCCCTTCACCATCACCCGCAGAGCCAACGGCAGGACTGCGGAAGGAAGGATTACTCCGTCATCTCGTTAGAGGAGCGTTTGGTGGAGAGAAATTTGTACTTCATTTCATTGTTGTAGATGAACATAAAGGCATTATGTGGTATCCGTCTGAGAAAGAATATCGTTCGGCACCGTTAAGTCCATTAGGGCGTATTCCGTTTTGGAAAGAAACGAGAAATTCACGTGGAAGTCGTTTTAAAAGTGCTGCTGTTTGTTGGCCACTTATTTTAAAAGAAGATTGCCCAAAGGCTACAGATCCAACGATGAGTTACTTCGCTATTGAATATTTAAATGAAAGTAACTCTCATGCTAAAGTTGTCTTCGCTGCAGTAAGTGAGACCGAGCGTAATGATTGGGTCTTCTTCATTACACACTTTATTGATATGTATTTAGCACCACGTGCGGAGTCTGAGGAGTT